ATTGGTACCTGTCTCTAACCAAAAGGTCATGAGTTCGAATCCCCGCCGCACTTGTTGTACTAAAAGAAAAAGTAATTTATCTTGAAATTCTATAAGATCATATTGTAATTTTGATAAGCGTCACGGTTGTTCGGGTTTACAAAGCTAGAGGTTCTTCTAGGATCCTTGCAAACTTTCACAGAAATAGCTAACCTACTGAATGTTTCCAATCAAGAGTAAGGTTAGAAGATGAATCACTCTAAGATCAAACCTAGAATCTATGATGGTCACTCCTAGATCCTAAGACGACTCACTTCAGAATTAGCTTGAACGAGACTAATCCAATGAATCAGTTTAACATCAAACCTGTTGATGCAAAAAATGGCCTCTTGGGATTCCACCAAATTCGCACCAATCTTCAAGAATAAAATGGATCGACGAGACCTGCAAAACAGAATAGCATTACAAACCGGTATGGCTCTTGCCTCACAGACTCTGATGCTTAAGTCAGAATCGGAATAGTTGAGTATAAAGTGTGGGGTGTTGTGAGCATATCTTTAAGGTTTAGCTTACTCTCCTATTTATAAAAGTCAAATCCTAATCCCTTCAGGATTTACATTAGTTGAATCATACTTCCTTTAGGATTTACATAAATTGAATCCTAATTCACTTAAGAGATCTAGACGGAACGAGCCTCATGCTTGCTTTGCATCCGTTCGTTTCACTACGGGCTTAAGGTCGAATCAAGAGTCGAAGCAGGATGGTGCAGGATGAACCATTAGGGTTCTCGGTCGGGGGGCTGAGAACTGCTCGGCGCCAAGGAGGTCTTAATGCCAAGGCCTGGTCGGCCGGGGGCCGGCTCGGGTCGCCAGGTGCCGGCCCCCTTTTGTGGTTCCTGCTCACTTCTTGGCTTTCTTCCCATCTCTTGTCGCCTAGCTGGACCTCGCTTATTTCCCTCTATAACAGTAGCCCCCACTCTCAACACAAAAGGCAAAATATTAGGTCTTCTATATTGAGAGTTCTTTGTCGATTGACCATTCCATGAATGGCTATTTTGTGGAATAATCCCCTTATTATCTTGTCGTTCGTTGGTTGTCATCTCATGGGTTGATCTTCTTAGCCACATACCCTTTTGTCGTAGTTGGCTGTAGTAAAGTCTCTTAGGCTCTACCGTACAGTTATTTTTAACTGTTTAGGTTTTTGCCTTGGGATCTAACTTTTACTTGGACTAGTTGTACCCCCTTGAGTTTTTAACCTGTTTGGATTTTACCATGGGTTTTATACTCTATGGTTTACTATTGGTTTTCCAACCTATTTGGCTTTTGCCAATGGTTTCATACCTTAAGTCCAGTCGATACCCTTTTGTTGTTGTTGGTTGTCGTTTCATGGGCTGGCTTCATAGCCCTCATTCTCTTTTGTTGTTGACWGCAATCAAGTCTCTTAGGCACTGTTATATGATTAATTTTAACAGTTAGAATTTGGCCTTGGGATCTAACTTCTCATCAGGGCCAATGGTACTCTGTTTGGGTTTCTAACCTATTTGGCTTTTACCCATGTTTTATACCCCAGGGTTTACTCTCGAGTTTCTAACCTATTTGACTTTTGCCAATGGTTTTTATACCGTGAGTTTAGTCGGCACCCTTAGGTTTCTAACATATTTGGCTTCTGCCGATTTTTTACCCCAAGTTCAATCAACACCCTTGGGTTTCTAACCTATTTTGGCTTTTGCCAAATGGTTTTATACCTGTGGGTTTCATTGATTGGTTAGACTTGTTTGCTTTTTGTTTTAACCTTGTTGTGCCTATACGCATGCCTTTTTCAGCATCTTGGGATTCTCTTCCCTGGTTTCACTGATTGGCTTCTAGTTTATCGGCTTGCTTCTAGGTTTGTCCCTATTCGAGTTCTTTGACCAGCTGTTGATTTACTTACCCATACCTCCACTTGAGGGATTTTCATTTATAATAAAAGATAAATTCTCAAGTAGTAAAGATTTAATTATATTTCAAATGTCAAAAGTCTTATTTAGAAATAAAGAGATAATTGCTCAAGTAATAAGAAAATAATTAAATTTCAGATGCTATGAGCTTTTTTTAAATCACAAACAGTAAGTATCTTTGGAAACATAATATTTTGCTTTATCAACATGCAGTTACCAAAAAATCAGTCCTTAAATTATGCGATCTACCAAATATGTGATTACCAGAAAATCAAACCTAAACTTTCGTAATTATAAACAACCAGAATTACATAGCAAACTTACCATTGTCTGAAGTTGAAACTTCATATGTTAATCAGTTGCTTTTCAAGGTAGTGTAGTAGCATTCTCGTGATACTCGTCATTTTTTATTATTATTATTATTAGATTCTCATCCTGCAGGTCCTCTTAATATTATCCTTATCTCCCTAGTGGGAAACTTTGTCGTTGTAGCTGTTGTTAAGAGTTACCTTGAAGTTTTCAACGAATTTCTTGAGGTAACCCTTGCAGATGAGATCTTTCCTCTTTTCCTTGAGACCATGATGTCCTTTGTCACTCCATAGATGTCAATCCAGTAATCAGTAGGAACTGTCGAGTCGTCGTATTATTTGATAGCAGAGAATTTTGACCTTTAGAGGGACTATCTTTTCCATGAGTGGTGAATCTACCTAGTAAGCGGAAGAGACTTGGTCGACATAAGAGATCTGGTTGGCCGAAGACACCTGGTCCGCGGAAGAGACCTGGTCAGTATAAGAGACCTGGTCGGCGTAAGAGACCTGGTCGATCGAAGACACCTGGTTCGCGAAGAGACTTGGTCGGTAGAAATGACCTGGTCGGCCGAAGGGACATTACCGGTGGAAGAAACCTAGTGGGCATAAGAGACTTAATCGGTCGAAGAGACCTGCTCAGTCGACACTTGGTTATGCCTTGGATCCAGTCATGCCCTGGAGTCTGTTCATGTCTTAGATTGGTTATGACCAGTTATGTAGTTGCTTGTCAGGTCTTTGCAGTAGCTTTGTTCTTCCGTGGACCACAGATAAGTGTAGGTTGTTTTTTTCTTTTCAGGGATTTGTTAACTCATTTATCTCGAAGTTTGTTTTGGAATCCGTCGATTTACCTCATCCAGGATCTGTCCTAGAATTTGTTAATTCGTTCATTTTGGGTCCTGCTTCAGAACTAATTGATTTTATTTTCTTTTTCTACTACCTTAGGTAGGGGAAACCCCTAAGTCGTATGGTATTTGTCGTTAGAAAGTTGTGGTCTGCCTCCAGAATACATGTCAGTTTGTTTCTCCTGAGATCTCCTTGTATCTAAGCAGTTATCGGTCAATTCATCATCAATCGTCTAGACTTTTAGATCTTAGTCGTCCCCACAGACGGCGCCAATTGTTGATGCACAAATTTGGCCTCCTGGGATTCCGCCAAATTCGCATCAATCTTCAATAATAAAAGGGATTGACGGGACCTGCAAAACAAAATAGTATTAAAGACTGGTGTGGCTCTTGCCACACAGGCTCCGATGCTTAAGTCAGAATCGAAATAGTTGAGTATATAAAGTGAGCAGTGTTGTGAGCATACCTTTAGGGTTTAGCTTACTCTCCTATTTATTGAGGTCGAATTCTGATCCCTTCAAGATTTACAACAGTTGAATCTTATTCCCTTTAGAATTTATATAAGTTGAATTCTAATGCACTCAGGAGATCTAAACAAAGTGGGTCTCATGCTTTCTTCGAGTCCGTTCGTTTCATTGTGGGCTTAAGGTTGAATCGAGAGTCAAGGTGGGATGGTTCGGGATGAACTGTTAGGGTTCTCGGTCGGGGGGGCGAGAACTGCTCGACGCTAAGGCCTGGTCAGTTGAGGGCCGGCTCGGGTCGCTAGGTGTCGACCCCCTTTCGTGGTTCGTGCCCACTTCTTAGCTTTCTTTCGGTCTCCTGTCGCCTAGCTGGATCTCGATTATTTCCTTATAACAAAACCTAAAGCAAGATTTGAAAGAGACAACACCAAATGTGTTAAGGAACAAAAGTTCTTGATTTCAATATGTTAAATCTGTCATAACAAGGTCATTACAAGTATATAAATAGGTCGAAGGGATGTTCAACAAAGAAATACCAAAAGTCTTTAGTCAGAGTCCTAAATTGAAGAAAATAAGAAATACAAACTTAAAAGTTGATTGCACATCAATCTAGAAGCCTAAATACGGATCAGCAAACATAGGCACGCTCTGTCTTAATTATCATCTGTAAGAGCTGCTTCACATTTGGATAAGTTTTGACCAACTTTGACATCACAAACTCTCAAAAGCTTCAATCTACAAAGGCACCCGTTCACAATTCTGCACACTCTTTTGGTCCTCCATATCATCTCTCAAAATAGACAACTTTTTTTGTGTCATCTTTGCTTCATTCTCTTTTTGACTCATTGAAGTAACATTATAAAGAATTTTGGGTTCAAAACTTTTTGTTGGTTCTTGTGTATTGATCAGCCTTTGAAGATGTAGTGTAAAAACCTCTTGAATCCTCTTTGCGTTGCTTTTTGTAATTGCTCCCTCGGGTACATCCAATGGATCATTGGTGGGATTTACATCAAATTCTTTTCGTAGAAACATAATTTAAAGTCTCATCATATTCTTTTCGTAGAAACATAATTTAAAGTCTCATCATAATCTTTCATGTAATAACAAATATTGGACTTCATTTCTAAAATAATAACAATATAATTAATTTGATATTCATCCAGATTTGGAATCACATAGAATCTAAACCAAACATATACTTTTGCATTTTAAATTTTAAAACCTAAGTTAATTGTTTTATCCTATACATTATTAGAAATGTATGGGTGGAAATTCACTCTGTCATTCAATCTCAAATCAAGAGTACTTTTAAAATGGAATAACATAAAATTTTAGGAACAAAATAGAATATAAATCTAAAAGTTATGCCGAAAGTAGACTACCTCCCAATGAAGAGAGAACACATCCATAATAAAGTTAAATATTCCAAACTAGACTTCCATTTTTAGAGAGAGAGGAGAGAGAAAGAGGACAATTTAGAGCCAAAGGCAATTTTAATTAACTTTCTACTAAAAATGGGAAAGATCACACAGAACTTGTAACAGTAGTTTGAAAAGTGGGGTATGGTGGTCATGCATGAGATGCAGCAATAAAGTCTAAAGGAAACTCCAAAATGCTATACAGGTCAGAGCTTTCCCTTATCCCTCCATTCAAAAACACAAAAACATAATATTATTTAAACTTCTCTATTAACAATTTTTAAAATGAATTAAATTCTATGGTTTTCATGTTAGAGCAACCGCCTCGCCGTGGTCATAAATATTCATCGCCGCAAACGCCTTGTTTTCCTCCTCGGCCACCTTCCACGGCGGGTACTGCCCGTACTCCCACGGCGGAGAAGCCACCGGAGCCCAGCTGAAGTTGCACATCATCTTCTCATCATCACAAACAGTTTGATCGATGTCTCTCCAAATATCATCCATGCTGTAATCCTCTTCCTCTTCTGTGTTTTCGACTCGATGTCCCCCGGTGTCGTAGAAGCTTTCTTCTCCGATCTCCACCGAGGGAAGCGAGTCGATGGCCGGGTTGTTCGAGGCCAAGGAGCAGTTGGAGGAGGACGATGGAGAGAGGATGACGGTGGTGGCTGCAGCCGCTTTCTTCTTCTCCTGCGCTATCTTTCTCATGTGGGTTCGCCAGAAGTTCTTTATCTCGTTATCTGTTCGTCCTGGCAGCTTCCTAGCAATCCTCGACCATCTGCAAAACCATAACACTCCATCAATATATATATTATTATATAAGATCGATAATTAAGAGAGAAAAATGCAAAAACAAGTACTTTTTATAAAAATTAACGAGTCGTCAATTTTTCAACGACAACGAGGACAAAATTTGGTCTTTACCATTAAATGAGTCTGAGTATTTTCCTATTATATATATAAATAGTTAGAACGTAAAATTTAGAACGAACCTGTTACCCCATTTGGAGTGCAGGTCGAGAACGAGGTGCTCCTCTTGGGGAGTCATCTTGCCGCGCTTGAGACCGGGGTGGAGGTAATTGACCCAACGGAGACGGCAGCTTTTGCCGGTTCTTTTGAGGCCTGGGAGAGAGAGGAGAAGGAAGTTAAAAAGGGTTTCAAAATGGGATTAATATTAATATTAATTAATAATATATGAATATTGATGTGTTCTAATTAACGAATTGATGAATTTTAATGAAACAAAAAAGAAAAAAAAGAAAAAAGCCCTACCTAGCTAGGACTTGAACAAGGTATTTCTCCCGCCACCTTCAAACCTGATACTTTGGCGATGAAATCCCACCGGCGATCGCCAAATAACCCCACAAAGCACACCAGTTGGAAATCTTCTTGCTCTGTCCATGGCCCTTTTCTCATACTTTCCTCTTCAATAACCATCTTCTCTCTCTCCCTCCCTTTTGTTGGATTCTTCTTGCTTTCTATGGTGGACTTTGGGTGTGTACCAGTGACATTTATATAAGCCAAGTCTATGGACCTAACAATTCTCTCTCTCTCTCCTTAAAATAACAATATAACGCACGCTCTCTTTCTTTTTTTTATGTTCTTTTATTGTGGTTTACATTAACTTTTTTTTCTTTTCGAATCATGTCGTGTGTCTTGTACTAATGGATCTTTATAATTGGAATGTGTTGTCTAGATTGAATAGTGACCCATGCAAGATTAAAACTTGAGATGTTAAGTAGGTATAGTACCTCAAGATCCTAAGCGTTTGAGATTGTGCCATCCTTCATGGAATTCTACTTAATTAGCATTAATTATTCAACTCTACGGACTTAATTAGCATAGTTTGAGATTTTATTAAATATGATGTTGATCATATATATATGTTGAATAGTTAAACGTATTAAATTAACTTTCTAACGTCAAAGCGAGCATAGCTTAGTGGTAATTGGCATATATCTCCAACCAAGAATTTGTAAGTTCAATCTTCCACCTCCACATATTGTATTAAAAAATAAATAAATAACTTTTAAATTAACTCGTGGAAATTCAAAGTGTATACTCAACAAAGATATTTATGTTTTAACAATTAACCATATTGAGATTGAGTTAATAATCACATATTACATCATTTTAATTCAACCTCCCACCTCTAAGAAGCCAGATCAAGATTTTGTTTTAATCGCTAAGCTATGTTCATGTTGACAAATTTTCGTACTTATTTTAAAAATGTAACAACACATATTTTACCATTTAATCTTTAACTAATGACAAACATTAAATAAGCTTTATACAAAATTATGGAGGACAAAAACCAAAACTTTTAAAAGGGTAATCAATCTTTTTTTAGTACAATAATTTGGAGATATATGGAAGATCAAACTTTCAACCTCGAGTAAAGGAATACATGTTAATTACTATGTCACGTATTGGTAGTAACAAAATCTTATTATATTAAGATTAACTTTTTCTTTAATTTATTACCAGATTTAAAAGATGTATCTATGGTGATTTAATTTTGTTTCCATTAATATATTATATATGTGATCTCACACTATTGCGTCCACTTGCCTTATCCTATTATTATTAATGTATGTTTTAAAAAATTTGGTATTTTGATTAATTTAATGGAAATGTCAATGTAATAAGATTCATATAATCTTGAAAACTAATATAAACCATAGGGTTAAAATAATGTGGATGTGTCCCAATGTGAAAGCAGATATTTTTTGTCCATTACAAGAGCCCCCTTGTGTTTATCTTTAAACAGATTGTGCTGTATTTTGTGGAATTCAATAAAAGTATATATCTAAAAGCATAAGGGATAAAGAAAATTTGTGAGAAAAGGACAAATGGAATTAGCTCAGCCACAATTGGATGAAAGGGAATAACTTCATAATTGAACCCTAGACTTCGTCTTTCTCTCTTCCTTTCCTTCTCTTTTTCTTTTCCTATTTTTTTATTAAGTAATATACCATTTAATATGAAAATATTGATCCAATCAATTAATAAAGTATATGCCTTTTAGCATTTGGAATAGCCAGTTTTATGTCAGTTAAAAATATTGAGAGGTTTTAATTTATGGGAATGTAAATGAAAAGATAGATAAAATATTAATAATAATGAATATTTTAAAGAAAATAATTAAATATTATAATAAATATTTTAAATAACCAATAAATATTTTAGTCTAGTGTTAAGGAATTTTAATGTTAATATTATGTCTATATTAACTATTAGTGATATTTTATTATTTTTTTTATATTTTGTCTTTTTTTTTAATAATAGAAATGTAGATTCATCCTGCATGTTCATGTCGAATAATGGACTATGAAAATGTCAAACATATCAAAACAAAAATAAATACTTTAGATAGATTCAGTCCAAAAAGATGAAATTATAATACATACGAACAAATTCATTTAAATTTGAAAAAGAAATAAACGGTGAATAATGGAACCCTTTTTCCAGGTACCTTTGAATGTGAATCTTTTTTTTCTTTTTTCTCTTATAAAAGACAAATATATTATTAGATTCAAATTGGTCTAATATTACTAGATAAATGAATGCATTCACGGACCACAATTTCCAATAATTGTGTGCATTATAGGAAAATATTTCGCTCTTTTTATATATATGTATATTTGTATATGTATATACTTTCTCTTTCAATGTTGAGTAGTAACTTTGTTCTAACTCCATTAAATATTTGACAATGAAGAATGAGAAATGTAAAATATAGATTTTTTTAAAAAAAATAATAAGTTGTCATTTTTTCTAGACGTGGTAAGGACAAGATTTGGTCCTCACCAAAGAGCTAAGTGACCGTTTGTTTCATGAGAATCCAAGATTCTCATTAGACGGACATCTCAATTCCCACATTGTTTCGAGATACCTAAATATCCTAGGATGTTCATACTGGAGGCATCATATGAGTTTTGGATGCCCTTTTGAAACACGGGTTTCCAAGATTCTTGTATTTAGGGCATCAACTTTTTACATTTTCGCCCTCCATTTTTTTTTCTCTATATATTTTATTGTGTCAATTTTTTTAATTTTTCCTCAAAAAATTCTTTATTTTTATTTTTAAATTTATAATTAAAATAAATTAATATACTCATCGTCTAATAAATAATTTTATGCTATTAAGTATATTTGTACATTAGATTTACATGTAAAATAAACTACAATTAAATTATATAACATCTCCATTTATTTTTAATATTTCGAAGGAATTACATTATTAATAATATTTATTATCATAAATATATAATTGTAAAGCAACATTTTTTTTACCGCCAACATACCCGTGATATTTTTCCTCTTAAAGACAATATAATGTGATGATAAGATAAATAAATTTCACCCAAGGTAACATAAATTATATAATTGTCCTTTTAGAAAACTATTAAAGTTGGAAATGAGACTTATATTAAATTAATAATGAATTAATTTGTTGTTCAAAATAACATATAAAAAATAAATAAAAATAAATAAAAATCAATTCAAATAAATATATTATATTATATGAATTTGTAAATTATATAAATATTTGTGATGACATTTTTGGAACATTTTATAAATTTAACACATTCCTGAGAATAAATCTGGAAAACAAATCTGGGTATCCAAATATTCTCGGATATCCTTAAAAATCTATCTACGAAACAAACATGGTTATCTAAAGATGTTGGACATCTAAAATTCCGAGCATCTGAAATTTTGGACATCTTTAGATGCTAGTCATCTATATTCTCGAAAAACAAATGACACTAAAAGTTTTCTATATATATAGTAAACAAAAAAAAATTTTAAAGAAAAATACTTGATCTTTGACAATAAGGAGAGAATCGTATTCTTACCACTATTATATATTTGACAATTAAGAGAGAGAAATACAAGAACCACTTTTTATAAAAATTAATGAATTATCAAATTTTCAATGATGATGAAAATATGATTTGATTATTACGGGAGCCAANTTTTTCCAAACCGTTGCAAACAACTCAATTATAGACTAGATTTTAGAAAGGAAAAAAAGTCGAGCCAAAGTTCAGAATTATCCGGCCAAAGTTCAGAATTATATCAAGGTATTTCGAAAAAAGAAAAAATGTATATCATAGCAAGAAGAAATTGTTGATTAAAGATATTTTGTGGTCTAGAGCCCAAGAGCTTACTTTAGTCAACAAATATGATTAGAAAAACTTTGGCCTAAATGTAACTTTAGACTATGTTTTTAAAATTATACCATTGTTAAAAATCAACTATGATTTTACTTTAGACCATGGTCAATTTTTTTAACAATAGTCTAAAAATCAACTTCAAAAAATTGATGGTCGTCTTGAATTAAATTATGGGTTTCCTTTATATTATAAATTCATAGTTTAAAAACACTTTGGTCTAAAATTCAACAACTCGTGATTAAAATGTAAATTAAACAACATAAAAGTATATAAGAGTGAAATTTTTACGAGTGAGACATATATATAGAAGCAAATTGTTCTCTTTTCTATAGAACTTTGCATAATATGAACATATGCTATGGTAAAAAAAAATGTTGATTGCCGAGATCAAATACAATACAACCATAATTCATAACATTATATTGTCAAAGAAGTGCATGTATGATGACAAATTACAAATTTTCATTTTATTATTAATTGATAATTAATGTATAGGTATTGTGGTGGTTGTTTTGTACTAGTAAAAATGTGTCACTGCCTAACTTTTTTTTAATTAGTAACCTCTAACTATTTGATCTATACGTAGTTAGAAATAAAATAATTTTAAAATTATAGATCTCAATGTTCGTATATTGTATTTTATGAACTAATCTTAATTTAAAAACAATGTAAACACTCGACATGTCGCTATCATGTTCTAATTAAAACAACATATTTGTTGGGTATGACCTAATTAACTATATAATAAAACATGCTTGTGGAGTTTTTATAAGTTGGCAATATAAGTAAGCCAATGGCCTATATAAGTAAAAGCATTTATTTATAGTGATCATTTTCTTGAATTTAATTAAATGGATGGTTTTGCTTTACCAAGAATTTATAGGACCACACAGTCACACACACACCATTAATATCTCAAACATATAAAAGTTAAATTTAAAATTAAAATAAAAGAAAAGCCTTTGTTCTTATTTACTGTTGATTTGACTGACAGCTTTCATGGGTCATATATTATAATATGTAGATAGTGGAATTTGGCATCATATGGGGTTATGTGGTTAAATTATATTTGTCATTGTGCATTTTAAAAAATAGTGTTTTTTTAATATAATAATATGAGTAAATGAGCACGATATTTTAGATGGAGATATACTCTTTAAAAAAAATTGTGTTGAATTTTCATGTTTATTTCATTTTTTTATTTTTAAATACTTTATTTTAATATCTAATTTTTACATAAAATTATTTTAGTATATATTATTAAATTTGTAGTAACTTAAATATCTATATGAACCAATATTTAGTG